CTATGTATTCCTCCCTTCCCTTGTCTCTCCCTCTCTACCTCCCCCCCCATCTCTTCCTCCCTTCTCCCATCTCTACCTCCCTTCTCCTATGTATTCCTCCCTTCCCTTGTCTCTCCGGCTCCGTTTACACTGTACCGCATTCGCTGGTCACGACATCAGTTTTAACAGTCAATGAAATAGCGTAAACATTTATATTGGTAGTAACAAGCAGAAACATACGGAAGTTATCTAAAGAGTAAACCTTTGTTGGTAAACATTGCTCCTGGGAAGCAAACGAAGATGTCGTGACCAGCGAATCCGGTACAGTGTAAACGGCGTCTCCATCTCTACCTCCACCATCTCTTCCCCCATCTCTACCTCTCTTCCCCCATGTCTTCCTCCCTCCCTTGTTTCTCCCTCTCCCTCCCATCTCTACCTCTCTGCCCCCCCCCATCTCTACCTCTCCCCCATCTCTTCTTCCCTTCCCCCATCACCTTCCCTCCCTTCCTTCATAATGAAACAATCAAAACCGAGCCAACTTACCAAAATATTTCGCTTAATAAAATCTTTCTTTTTCATTTTTCGTTCCTTTTTATTCTTCTTGTTATTCCTCTTCAATTTATCTTCGTTAGCCTCCCCACGACTCATTTTATTTCTGCTTTCAGTAGTCGAGATATCATCTCCTTTGAAGAATCAACAATAAATGAACTATTAACATTAGCCAACGCACTTCCAGTCTTCCACAAACGGGTAACAAAACGAAACATAACTTGCTCGTTATAAGACAGCCAAGAGTGAAGCTACACCATTGTAAAATTATAAATCCGAAGACCATTACCTTCCGTGTCACCAGAATGTCCATGGATTTCAAAATAAGTTTCTTCGTGACGTTTCTGCCGTAGTATTCTTTCTTCATCCACCAGCGGCTGTGTAGCAAAAAGAGGAGTGACGGGAGGCGAGTCTTCGGAAACACTGTCTTCTTCAATGGTAAAAAATATTTATGAGTATTGGTACCATTCGTGTCCAGAGTCTTCACTAGGTTTCTTAAACCCTGAATCTCTGGCTTTTTTCACCCTATACCTTAGGACTAACATTTCTATAGTGCAAATACTGTATGATCAAATGCCCTTTACATCAAGTATTTTTTTTTCATCTTATTTAAAAACGGTAGCCCTTCAAAGGGCCGTTAAAATATTTACAAATATGAAAAATCTATTACATACTAAATATATATAAAAAGAAAGCCCATTGAACACTATATATAACTAGATTGAATCACATATATAACTAGAAATAGTATGTTATGTTAACCCTCCCAGACCCAAAAATTACTCCTTCGAATCAAAATCCGCCCATGCACAAGTGATTGTCACACACTATTCCTCTCCAAATTGGTGAAATAGTTGTTGATTAAGGTTTTGAAGTTACTTATGGAGAGCTCTTTATAGTTGTTGGCAACATCATTTGGAAGATTGTTCCATGATGTAGCACCTCGATATGAAAGCGATTTCTTCATGAAGTCTGTTTTAGGTTTTTCCAAATAAAGTTTACAGTTATTACTTCTGAACGGATACATATCATACGCTTATCTAATTACTTAGCCTGGACTATTTTATCTTTACAACAATTGTGATATTACTTTGAATTCTTAACTGTGTTTATCCTAACCTACTTTCTCTGTGGGAGGAAACCGGAGCACTCGGAGAAAATGCACGACTTTCGGCAGAGCTTTGACAGACTCTTTTCACATGAGTCCGTAGCGAGAATCCAACCCACGAACTCAGAGGTGGAAGGCGCTTGCTTTAATGACTGTGCCACCGAAGCTCCAAGACTTTCTAATACTAGAAAACTCAAAAAGTCTAGCAACTTCTTCCAACCTGAAACCCGCAATTTTTGTTGCATGCTTTGTTTAACCAAAGCTTTGTTTAAATGAAAACACAAGTACTCTACCGGCAGGGCAGGAAAAAATAATTTTCTTCCTGGGAGCACAACTTGGAGACAAAAATTTCCTGCAGACCAACGAAGTATTTTTGTCCTAAATCTGCATTTGCATAAACATATAGTGTTCGAACTGACTATGGTTTTAAATTCAAGGAATAATGTCTGTCAACCATATATATATATGTTGTTGCGCCTCAAATTTTCAATAGCAAATCTTCATTCAAACAAATTTCCTGCAGTTGTTTAACATTTCCTGCGAACAGTGTTCGCCTCCTCGCCTAGTTTTTCCACCCCTGTCTACCCGGCTATATCAAAGAGCTCAAAGGGAATTGTTGTTGTAAGGAATTAAACGCCTTTGTAGAGAATACTAGTATTGTTCGTGTCGCTTGCAAATTGCTCAGAGCAATCTCCCTATCAATATTGTGAGACAATATTATATTGCAATGTTGCTTGCAAGAGAACATCCGGTTTGACTGTAAACGCCTTTGTAGAGAATACTATACCTGTTTCATTGGGAGCCCCTAGAGCCAACATATGGGCTGGCCCTAGGTCAACTGGTTTGCCAAGCTCAGCATCACGACTTTTCTCGAGCATGTCAAGGTGATCTCGCCACATACGTTCCTGATCACGTCGCTGTTTCTTCACTTCTTTTTCTCTCTAGAAACGCGGGATGTATATGGCGAAACTTAGCATTTTTATTCATATTTATTTCATACTTTAGTACCTTAAGGTGGAGTAATATGGGCAACAAAATTGCTGCAACTGGCAACAAAATCTGATTTCAACGCATGTTAATTGAAAATGTTCACACATACATTACAAATCACGAGGCAACATGTGTCAACATTTCTACTTAACATGCGTTGAAATCAGATTTTGTTGCAAGTTGCAGCAATTTTGTTGCTCATATTACTCCAGCTTTAAATGATCCTTAAATACTTAAGCAAAAAAGCGAAGCCAATAAAGGAAAAAGTCGCTATGCGTGAACAAATATGCTCAGTGGAAAACGGGCTTTAACAATTACCTTCACTTTTTCAGTCAATATATTATCAAGTTTCTTAATTCGTTCCATTCCTTTGCGAATTTTAGGATCCAGACCTTCATTCTCATAACTTCCTGTTGTAGAACTACTTTCACTTTCTGCTTGTTCAAGATTTTCATCTTGGAGTTCAGTAACACTCCCTATTGAGTTTTCTATTGAGAAAATTTACAGTATTTTTGAACATTCTTTAAAGAAGTGCAAAATGAGAAAAAAGAAAATTAAGTTTTATGGAGCCATGTACCATGTTGTTTCGTCTTCTCTTTCAAGGTGTTTTCATTACTCAACAATGCCTCCTTTACTGAGTCTGAGTTGATAATTTGCTGTCCAATTTTGTCTGACAAACTGGCTTCGTCAAGCACTGATAAACTGTTGGTAGTCTTGTTACTGGTTTGTTCAAACTTGGCTTGCAAAGAGGTTTCATCTGTCAACAACAAATCCTGTTCGTTGTCTGAGCTTACATCTTCAGTTATATCTGTGACCACAACATCTTCTTCAACCTACCATCAATAAACCAAAGTCAGTGAGGGTTCTCAACATTTTAAGTGGAAAAATATTTGATAAACTTTCTCATTAGAGACCATGGAAAATGATTAAATGACTAAAAATATATGAATCGAACCTGAAAATTGGTTGACCAGCTAAGAGATGGCTCTAAATGAATTGCAATAAAATGCTGTCAGTGATATAATCAATTGCAATAAAATCTGTGATATAAAATTGACAAGTTTATAATTATGCAATAAAGTGTACTACGTTAAACTCTATTAATATGTATACCTTCGGGTGGTAGGATATCCAAAGAATGTTGAACTGAACTGGATGCTGATCTCTTTTAAGAGAACAAAATATATACAAAGTGAGTAGACAACCAGCTGTTTAGTAAACTGCCAGCTATATAGTGACTATAGTTAAAGTTGAATTTTTATAAGATAAACTGATCCCAACCCCAAATCTTTCTCTAACCCTAACCCTTTGAGAGTTAAAGAACTAGAGAAGGCGGAAAAAAAAGTTTAAACAATTTTAAGAAAAAATGCTAAGTCAGACAAAACACAATCTGACCTGGACTGTGTTTCACTTTTTGCACGTCAGCGCCTTTATCGTATATACACCAACGGCAAGCTTTCTAAAAGCTACCACAAACAAAAGTTTTTTATATTTAACTATAGTCACTATATAGCCAGCAGTTTACTAAATAGCCGGCTGTCTGGTCACTTTGAATAATATAACAGTGTAAACAAATATTGGATTGGAAGATATAATAGTGAGTGAGCATTGGATAATTCTTGCATCGTTTTCTTTTTTGGGGAGAGGGTTTTCGAATCTAGGGTCAATGGGTCATGCAAACCAAAGAAGTGTAGGTATATAGCCCGTATATTAAAATTGCTACTTCTGGTAGGTTGTGAATGAATGTTGAAAGCTTACCACAGAGGACCGACTACTGGATCTCTTGCTTGTTGAAGCTGGTCTGCTTATGGACTCTAAGCTAAAAAGTAGTAATGTACAAAAGATTTTGACATTTAGTACTGTAGTTCACTACTTGTCTGTACAATAAACAAGATTTTAACCCAAAACCAAAGCCATATTATGGCATATTCCCTGTCTAAAACAATTCTATATTATTCTACATATATACCTTCCTTCCGAGACTATTTCCATACCATTAAATCGAGTTACATGGCAAGAAACAAAGCAGACGCTTCACGTTGTCAAGGACCTCTATAGGCCGCCATCTTTTGAAATTTTGTTTTGCTTTCACGGTCGTCGTATTTAGAGACCTGGGAACAAGACACAGCGACCCCAAGTCATTTACCATAAAATCGTAAATCACCTTTTTAATCAGTAGAATCCACT